GATAGGGAGGCAAAGGAGGGGCAGGCAGAGGATAAGCTGGAAGGATAGATAATCCGATACGTTGTTGCGGCTCTGCAGAAGTGTTTATATTGAAGTGGATCTAATATAAAAATCCCTTGTGTCTGTCTCCCTCTCTCTTTGTCTTCGTCTCTGTTGTTCATGAGCACAGCAGTCAGAGCCCAGGAGGAAGACGGGGCCGATGCCAGCAGCAGCCACACAGACACCAGTTCCTCCAATCCTGTTTCCATCAATAACTCAGTCAGCAACTGCGAAGCTGGCAAAATTGTAAGGAGCCTTTGGATGCCCCTGGTTTGTCTGTGACCTTCCTTATAATGTGATTCAGATCTCCCACCACCTAGCACTAACTCTGCACTAGCAACCCAGCTGCGATCAAACACAGGGCCCTGTCTGTCGCTCCCTAATCCTTTTAATAGCATTTTATTAGAACTATGTTATTAACCTTTCCCAAAATCACATAACTGGCTTATGTTTATTTAAAGATATTTCAACAGGACTTTGCAGAGTATTAACAACCTCTCCATATCTCATTTCTCCATTTAACACTTAGTGTAGGCGGTAGAGGCGTTTTTTCAAAGGCTGCTTTGTAATTGATTTTAGTGGAAGATTTGAAATTCTATCGGAGTTTCTCATGCCCTTCATGTCCATAAGCAACAATGGGTCAAAGAAGGGGCACAGCTAGCAGCTGGTAATTTCTGCACTAACCAATCCCTTTCTGTAGTAGCCCCATAATCTCCCAAGGTAGACATGCCATTATACACAATGTGAGCACTGACACAGCAGGTGTAGTTAAAGAGACTGATCTTGCAGAGTGTTAATAAAAGATCTGATGAAGAATAAAATGCCTTGCCAGAGCACTGTAAGAAATGCTGCCCCCAGGAAATTAAAAACTATATCCTAAAATAGCCAGTGGGGGATCTTTCGCCTCGCCTAATAAGTTCAGATGCCTTTATAGGTATACCCTTGAGAATATTAGTCATATACGTTGATGAATTACATTGTTTTGATTACAACGCAGTTTAGAATAGTTTATGAACTGGTGTTATTAATTTATTTAGAATGAGCATACATTTATTTTTCCTTCTTTTTTCTGTATCCCCTAGAACACCAATTCACAATGCAACATATGTCCCATTTAACAAGGTTTAACCTAAAACTCTGCAGTGACTCAGTCATTTGCATCGCCACATAAGGCCATGTCATGTCTCTGCACCATGAGCACACATACACACACAGAAAAGTTGTAACAGATAGGCGTGTGGGACTCTGTGACGATGGAATGAGTTTGTCCCAATAGTCCATATTAAATGGAGAGCATTTGCAGTAAGGTACCAGACCAAAACACTGATGACTATCAAAAGGAGAAATGGATATGATACTTAACGTGGACTTTTTTTCTTTTTAAACAAAAGCAAACCCTGAGAAATCGAAACCACAGTATCATGTCCACCACCCCAGAACCTCCAGGAAATGACTCCATAGTCCGACGTTGCAAAGAAGATGCTCCTCATTGCAGGTGGGTAGCTGTGTTTGTGAAAGGTGTGTAAAAAACACTGTTAAGACTACCGAATTAACTGTGCCTCCTACTCCTTTAGTCTGACCTGGCTTCCCTCACCTCGGTCAGGATGGATTCCTGTGGTATAAGCACACTCAGACTGAATGCTTGGGCTGCAGCCCCCTAACTCCCTCCAATGTCAACAGCACAGGCCCGGATTGGCTTTGACCCCTGTAAACGTTTCCCTTGGGGAGCATATGACAAGCATCGGTTTACAGTTACATCCTTGATTAGGGGTATGGAACGGCTGCCATATGAAGAGAGATTAATAAGATTGGGACTTTTCATCTGGGAAAAGAGATGACTAAGGGGGATATGAGAGGTCTATAAAATCATGGCTAGTGTGGAAAAAGTGAATAAGGAAGCATTATTTACTATTCCGATAACACAAGAACTAGGGGTTACCAAAGGAAATTAATAGGTAGTAACTTTAAAACAAACAAAAGGAAGTATTTCTTCATACAAGGTACAGTCAACCTGTGGAACTCCTTGACAGAGGATGTTGCGAAGGCCAAGACTATAACAGAGTTCAAAAAAGAGCTAGATAAATACAAGAGCTAGATAAATCCTGTTAGCCAGGATGGGCAACAGAGGATGGATCACTAGATGATACCTGTTCTGTTCATTCCCTCTGTGGCACCTGGCATTGGCCAGTGTTAGAAGACAGGATACTGGGCTAGATGGACCTTTGGTCTGACCTGGTATGGCCATTATTATTATGTGCCTCTTACGGTGCAAAGTAAATCAAACCCAGGGTAAAAACTGTTGAAAAGGCCCTACACACATGGATAGGTTGGCCACTGATGCATTCCTGAAGTACTATTGGCATGGGCCTTCCCTTCCCAGCATGACCTCACCCATCTTGTTGTGACCTCATGTGCCCGGTGCGGTACTAGGTCATAGCCTAGAGGGGTTTTTTGAAGCGTGCCACCTTGCCCCAGCTGGCAAGACTTCTCTTGCATAGTGCATACGACATCACACTGGGGTGAGGGGCAGAGCAGTGCACTCTTCATTATGGCATCTTTCATTTGATACCAGACAAAACTAGTCTCAGGACTGGATGGGGAAAGGGTTTAGAAAAGCAGAACTGTCTGGTTTAAAACTGGACAAATGGCATGCCTATGCATGGATATCATTACACCTTTGTGGATTCTCCTCAGCCCAGCTGTCTCCATCTCTGGAAGGGGAAAACCTACTATGCTGCAGTTTCAGCTGTGTTTGCCAGGCTGTTAGCTTTCCACTACACTCCTCGAGCTGCCTCTCCTTGGCTCCTACAAGCCCTTTTCTAGGATCTCTGAGGTTCAATTCCCCTTAATCCCAAAATGTAACCTTGGGAAGAATAATCCGTTCCAGTTTGGATGGAGCCAGTTAAAAGGTATTCCACTCCCTCCTCCTCCCCAGATCTGGCACCCAAATCTTCTGCCCAGATCACAATCCCCTTTTACTCTAGGTTACAAACCGAACACTTACACCCTTTTCCCCTCCCGTACTGTCATTTTTTCACCAAAAAAATACCAAAAATTGTTTAACCAGTCCTGCTTGGTATCTTTAATCAAATTCTGTATGAAGTAACCCCCGCCCACTCCATAACCAAACACGTAGAAGCATGCACTATTCATAACAAATAGTGCAGATACGGCACAGTTCATCATAAATTGGTCATAAGCAATTTAAGTTAACACTTCCCTTTATAAAAAAAAATGAAGTCCTGGGATCTGACCAACCATGATATGTATTTGTTTTGGATTGTAGCACCCAACTGCTACTAATGTTGTCATGCTAAATATTTCAGAGGTGTAGCCGAGTTAGTCTGTAACTGGAAAAACTTAAAAAAAACAATGAATAGTCTAGCAGCACCTTAAAGACTAACGAAATATGTTAGTCTTTGAGGTGCTGATAGACTATTCATTGTTTTTTATGCTGAATATTGTTTTTTAATTAGGACATGCAAAACACTCATGTTAAGGAAACTGGGGGAATTTTTTTAAAACTTCATTTTTATTGTTCTTATGTAAAATATAAACACACAATGAAACAAACTATATATAAATGTATGCACAACATAGAAATTCCATATAAATAACACAATTCAGTGTTCATTATTTGTAAAACTTGGATGAAACAAGCCTACAAGCACACACAAACCTGAACCTAAATAAATCAGTGAGAACGTAACCTATGAGTATTGGAGATTAATATAAACTAAATTGATAATATATGCAATAGTTTAATGTCTGACCAGATATCTTCAAACTTTTTCCAAGAGTTGCTCTTAGACCAGAGGTATCCTGGAAAAACTCCGCCGCATCCGGGGAATTTTGAGAAGAACAGACGCGCCCTTTTGGAAGCCCCATATTCCTCATTTTATGAGGAATAAGGGCTCTTCCAAAAAAGGAGGTTTTTCTGACATTTGGCCCCCTGTAGACGGGCCAAATATCGAAAAAGTCTCGTCCAAAAAAAATCGGAAAAGGTACCAAATTGCAATTTGCAATTTGTGTATTTTTTTCCAAAAAAAAAAACAGCCAAAATTTAACAAAGCAAAACATATCAACGGCAAGATTCTTACTAATATGTTAACTTTAGCACCTTCTACAAATGTAGCATTTTTATTCCTGTTTTTTCTTCTTAAAATCTAGTGTATTACATTTTTGTTGTTTCATTACATGCTTACCGTAAAATATACAAAAGGGCTGAATTAACCTTATTGTAAGTACATAATTTTTCATGTTTCTTGACTCTCTTTGGTTTAACTGTGCATGCTTTATGTTGTGCTGTTGTGGGGGCCAGAGTGTGGAGTGTGATAGCAGGCAAAGGAGAGAGAATAGACAGTTGCAAGTGTTTTGGTCCTAAAGAGGTTCTGAAGTTCACACCTCATTAAGGTAAAAGGGGTGGAAGAGGCAGCGGAGTTCACATCTCTTTGAGACAGCTTTCAGCATGGTTGAGCTAAGAGGAGAGCAGCCCATTGGTGTACAAAGTGCTGACTGTGTGTCACCGTGTGAAAAAGACATTTAGGCCACTGATTTGGGCTGCTCCAATTTTTGTGACAGCTTGGGTCTAGCTTCCAGAGGATCAGAGCCCTTGTGCTTTTGAAGTCAGTAGGAGCGGAAAGGCTCCACAACTGTTAAAATCAGAACTTACATCTCTCAACCTGGGCACCAAGAATCAGCGACCGTTTTGAACATTTATCTTAGTTTTTTTCATATGAAAATTTACAGAGTGCAATAAAAACTGTAAAGCCAGCGTAAAATCTTGGTGTCGGTCATGTGTGCAAACCTTGAGACCCATGACTGCTTCTGGTTCCAGATGTTAAGGCTGTGTGAGAGAGAGAAAAAACACATTTTGTGCAAATTATCCCAATAGCACACCCTGTTTCCGTCTGGCAAGACAGAGAAATGTGCACAGTGTCCAGCAGAGTAGAGGTGTAGTCTTTTTCTGCTGAGTTAAAAATCTTTACAGATGTCCCTGGAGCATGCTCAGAAGTAATTTTTCAATAGCTTACAACTTTATGATTAGCCTGCCAAGCTCTTTTCAAACTTGTTCATTTCATGGACATACTGAAAAAAATTACTATTTACATGCCAAGTTTCAGGTTTCACAGTTCAGCTGGTTTTGAGTTATTTGTGTGAAAATGAAATGAGGCAATTTATTATAGTGGGGGGGGAAGTGGTTGGGTTTATTTCTCCCTGCAGGATCGCATAACTTTAAAGTAGTTGAACTGATTTTCCCCAAACTTTCTGCAAAAATTCCCCTTTCACCTTGGATCAAGTGGCGAAAATGTTAGCCTCAAGGATGAGAATGGGGGCGTTATAATTTAAACCAATTTGCAGCATTAACTGGTCTCAATCTGCAGCATTAACATAGCCAAGTTGCTTTAGATATTTAGCCAATTAGATCATTCACTTGGCTGGACATTGTTGTGATAACTGGGCCTACAAATTTACCCTAATTGTGAGTTCAGTGGTGAAAAGTGAGCGAAAGTTCATAAAATGTCAGAGTAACCTATAAAAACAGATGCTGAGAAGAAAAGATGCAATAGGGAGACAGACTTAATTAGTTTAAACAGAAGGGTCTACTCATATAATTCAAGGACTGTTAAGATCCTGCCTGGTAAACAAGAAAAATATGGGAGAAGAAATTAATGAATAGGTCAGTCCTTAGGCAAATGCAGCTGCGTAGGGCACCAATAGCCAATCCCCCAGCTCCCTTCCCCCTATTCCACCTCCCAGTCCCATAGGACCAAATCTCCTAGCCCTCCCTCACCCTGCTCCACCTCCCAGCCTCATTGGATCCAGTCCCCCAGCCTCCAGTCTCCTCACTCCACCTCTCCTTCGCTCCGCCTGCCAGCCCACAGCTCCAGCCAGCGGTGCCACTCAGTCTGCCTGCTCACCCACCAGCCTCCTTATCCTTCTCCCTCGCCCCCCATAACCTGAGCACAGCCCCACCCAGGGATGGAAGGTACAGGTGTTTGGGCTGCCTAGGGCACAACAAATCTTAAGGACAGCCATGTTAATGAACCAAAATGGGTATGTTGGAAATTTAAGCCAAATTGGTGGGCAAATTAATGAAGTCATGGGCTATTCTGGCTGTCATTTCCTTTTGAGGCCTTTAAGAGACTTTGGCGGAGGGGGAGTGGTAATCTGGCTACTGTAAAGCTAGTTGATTAAAAGACAGGAGATAGGGAAGGAGCAAGACTCCTCTTCATGGCTACCTTCCCCTACCATCTCCTGGGACTCATAACATTTGTCATCGGATCCTGAAAGATAGCCTCACTGGGCCAATAGGAAGGAGCCAGATGACATCACAGTCTTCACTGGCTCCAGCTAATGCCAAATACAAGCTGTGTCCTTCCTCGTGTGTCCTTTCCCTTCCCTACCCTTATTTCTTTTCTTGCCTGTCCCTCTCCTTTTTCTTCTGTTTAATCAGAATCAGGCTCAGCCAGCCAGGACTGTATTTTGCAACACTTCTGTAAGCAACTAATGCAACTAACACAATGCCCAAATAGCCTGATGCTGGTATCATATGTCAAGTCTCTGAGCAACTGATACAACCCTGTGTTAGGCTGAGGTGGCTTTTTTTGTTTGTTTTTTTATAGCAGGGAGGCAACCACACCAGAGCTGTTTTTACTCTTGGCTGATCTTTTGTCATTTATTCCCTCTACATTAATATAACAACCTGCCTTTTGGGGCCCACTTTTGTGGGCCTTCTTCTTGATAAGCTGCATCTTACTCCTTCCTCAAGAAAGTCCCTGTGAAGTCATCTGTTGTGGAGGAAGATGCTGTTCAGTCTCAGTAAAGGAATCCTAATCTGGCCCTTTGGTTTTTATTTTTAGTGAAGATGTCAGCAAGACCTGAAGTGGCTAGTATTTTGGTCTGGTGCCTGATCCAACTTTCATTGAAGTGAGTCCTTACTGATTTCAAAAGGAGTTGGATTGGGATGATGGTTGTGGAAATGGGAGGTGCTGCACATAGCCTGTACATCCTGACATTCCTCTGATTTCACCAGACAGTCCATTGTAAAAGGTCTCTCCGGAAGACCCGTGCAGCTGTTCTAATGCTTCAAATGCACTTCAAAGGCATAACCAAAATAAATCATATGTATGGCTCTATTTGAAGCCCTTCCCTTACATTTTGAATCCAGTGTGGAACAAAGCACATGGCAGTCTAAAGCAGGTATTATGCATGCACTGTTAGAAAGAAGAACTGAAATAGTAAGTGCATATCAACCAGTTCAAGCCACGAGAGACCACAGTTTCCTTCCACCTGCCAGAATCTTCGTCACCTCTGTGTTAGCACTTCTTCCTTCTGAAACTTCCCACGGCTTCCCACGCCTCTCTCTCTCCTCCACAGGCCTCTCCAGATAATGTTTCCTATGCAGCTTTCCTGCTTCTTCCCGGTGTCACATGTCTGTAAAGCTTAGTCTGTTGGCACTGTCCTTCTGTTTCACCTGCCACCTTCAACACCCTCCTCCACCATAGCCCTTCATTGGTCAGAGCTGACTGATACCTGCTGAATGTTAAACAGTGGACATCTCTTTCTTTGTTTTTTAATTCCAGCCTTGCTGAAGAGGACAATGACAGCTTTGGCTGTGATACTTTGGAACTAGATGGTAAGTGAGTGGCGCGGGACACACCAGTCCACAGTCATGAACCATGATTCCTTAGCTCACCAGACTCAGGTGTTGTTCACCGGTCCCTATAATCACATAAAGAGTTGGAGGAAGGAAGATACGTGATCACACTGACTTTTCATTATCACAGGCCGACCTGGGATAGGAGAGAGATTCCTATTTGTTCACTGGCTTCCATTAACATAGGTAGAGCCTCTGCAAGAATATGAAGGACTCTCACCTTCACACCCATTGGAAAATATAACAATTGCGATAAAACCAATTCACGCCAGACTCTCTCTTTTTTCATATGGAGTAGACCCCAGTAGGCCAGCCTTCTGAGGCCGAAGCACTATGCTGGGTTCTGCTAATTACAGAGACTATACTGACCAGAAGGGACATTCAGGCTACATGTACACTACAAGGTTTTTGCGCAAAAACCTGTGGAGCGTCCACACCTCAAATGAGCTTTTGCGCAACTAAATGGGCAGTTAAATGGCAGAACAGAGGGCTTTTTCTGCCGTAGGTAAACCTCCTTTCACGAGGCATAACTGCTTTTAGCGCTACAGCTATTGTACAAGAAGGCAAGCGTGGATGCTCCAGAGGGAAAAAGCACAGGTGCTCTGATGGCCATTCACAGAATTCACTTTCTTGTGCAAGTGCATCCATGCAGTGTGGACGCTCTCTTGCGCAAAAGCACATGGCTTTTGCAATGCGCTTTGAGGTATGGATGTGCTCTTGCACGTTTTTGTGCAGAAACTCTTGCGCAAAAGGCTTCTTGCGCAAAAACCTTGTAGTGTAGATGTAGCCTCAGTGCTCAAAAGGAAACAAAGGACCATTGAACCTGTATCTTAGGAAATGGCGTGGGACCAGTAGCTGGAGAGAGAGCTGCTGCTTGTTTGGTCCAAACCTCACAATGAGAAGTGGTTCAGGAGCAGCTCACTGATTCTATAAGCCCAACCTTTCTGAGCAGAAGTTGCTACAGGGCAAGGTGAATGGATTCTGGCTGTTGGAGAGCACTCATTTTGCCAGAAAGAGATTATGTGGGCTAAGCAAGGGACTGGGAACCAGGAACCCCTAGATTCCAATTTTGGTCCAGAACCGATGTGTAATCTTTGGCATGTCCCTGAACCACTCTGAATGTCAATCTTTCTCTGCATAGAGCAGGGGTAATGATGGTTTTCTTCTTGGGCTGTTGGGAGCATTTGTAAAGAATTTCTCAAAGGGATTGTTACGTTCCATCATTCTCACACTGATCTGGTGGGCCCTTAGCCTTTATGGGAAAACATTTCTGTAGGGCTGCTAGTTTACAAGGTGCCTTATAAATATCAATGCATCCTCAGTCTGAAAAATTAACCATCTAAATATGACGGGACACAAAAGCACAAGAAAAACCCCAGATCTGTGTTTTAGAAGAGGAAAGGCAAAGTGGGGATTAGTGATGAGAAGAAGGAGCTATTGCTTGAGGAGGGAGTCTTAGGAAGCGATTGGATTTGGAAGAAAGGACACTTGGATGGGAAGGACTAGGTGACTGGTCCAGGCATGAGGGGGATTTTCATTCCTGCCTCCAGGACCAGTCATTTTCTGCTCTGAATCAAAGTAACGTTTCTCTCCCACCAACCCACCCATACACCCCCAGGCTTGCCCTGGAATCAGCTATGCCTGCACCTTTCCTCATTCTGCTTCCTTGTGTCATCTAGAATTCCTTTGATTTTTATTTCCCTTTTCAGATGACAGTCATGACAGGTACTCGCACGGAGCTCCCTCGGTGCACTCCTCCTCCTCCTCTCACCAGTCTGAAGGCATGGATGCCTATGACCTTGAGCACGTCAGCTCCATTTTTAGGAAGTTCTCTCTGGAAAGGTATTTTGGGGATGTTGATTTATCTGCTCAACACTGATCTAGGAGTAAAAAGGCAGCTCAGGGGAAGGTTGACCCCTAGATATTAGGTCACTCCATGAATATCAGAGAATGGGCTATCACATGACACAGTGTTATCACAGTTTGCTTCCTTATGTCCTCGCGTCACAGTGCAGCAACACCACATGTTATGTTGGGACCGTTTATCCTGCCAGCTGAGGCAGTGATTGACAATCAGGCCTGTCTCAGAAAAATCAAGGGAGGCAACTTCTCTGAAGAGAGCAGTTTCATCCTAGTGACCTTGTCTCACTGCTGTTGGTTACCAGACACTGTGCCACTCTACACGTGAGGCTGTTCAGTCTTATTTCAGCATTAAGGAGATACCCAGATGCTATTCTCTTGTATAACTTACCTAATATTGTAGCAGAGAGGGCAGATTTCTCTGGGGGTTGTTAGATCCTAGTGCTTGATAAACAGAAAGCTCATTTGCATGCCCCCCTCTCATTTATCCTGAGTGGAGAATATCTATTTTTGTGCCAGACTAATTGAGAGAAGCTGAGAGCCGCATCCTCTAAGCAGTTTGTTTGTTTCATGAACACAGACCTTTCCGTCCTTCTGTGACGTCTGTTGCTCGCATTAGGAACTCTTGTCACACTGTCCAGCGCATCACACTGAATGGAGACAGCCTCAACTCAGAGATCACTCTGCTGGGAGGCAATGACAAAGGAAGCTTTATCAGCTCTGTCAAGCTGGGATCCCTAGCAGAGAAAGCAGGCCTCCGGGAGGGACACCAGCTGCTTCTGGTGAGCATTAAACAAACAACAAACAGTGTGTGCTCATTGCACTAATCCCCTTTGTTTCTTGTTTCCTCTTTTAATTCTCTGTTAATGACAAACTATGAGATTCTCTGCAGCCAATACTCCTACATCTTTAGATCTAATCAGGAATCCTGCTGAGAAAGTCTGGAAGTGGGGGGGTATTTATGGGCTTCTTAGACACCTGCACCATGACAGCTTACAGTGATCCAGCTGGAAGAAGTTGGGGCAGGAGTGACCGGCTGCCTGTCCTTTTACCCCCTTTCTTATAGTAATATCCCTTGGAAAAGACTGGGAGGGGAGTAGTTGTGAGCTTTCCCTGTCACCCGCATCTTGTGTGCTTGCTTATTTGTTTGTTTGTTTTGTTTTCGGTTTGTAAAGACTGGTAGGAGGTGACATGCTGTGAGAAAAGCAGGGCCCTGATTAGGCAGCCAGACAGTCAACCCTTGGTACAGGTGCAGCAAACACAGGTGGAAATGGGAGTTTGGGGGCAGGGATGTGAGGTGTTCTGGTTTTGGTTTGGTTTGTTCGTTCATTTGGGTGTTCGTTTGTCAGGAATTTAAGTGGGAAAGCTATGACGGGTACAGGGCCAGTGGTGGTAGTGACCCGAGCCATGGAAGAGAGAATGAAGACAGCCCAATGTGTAAATTATAGGATGTACATGATCCTAGAGGGGTACCTGAAAAAAGCTTTATTTGTATGATGTTCCGCTGGATAGAGCAGATGGAAGAGAAGATACGAGGCTTGGAGATGCAGGTGGAAACCATGGTTGAGTTTTGAAGGGGATGCAGATGATGATGGAACAAAGGCAAGAGGCGGCTGAAAGGAAAAGTCAAGGCCTGCAGATGCAGGCGGGACTGAAAGAACTCAGAGGGAAGTCTGCTGGGTGAGGACTGTGGTCAATGAAAGCATGTGACCACAAGGAACCAGGCTGAAGAAAACACTGGCTGGTGAAGGAGAAACAGAGTTCAGGAATAGGTTTGATGAGATGGAGAATGAAGGAGAAGCACAACAGGTAGTAAATGAAGGTGAGAGGGCAAGGAAGAGAAATCTTATAAGAAGAGGGGACGAGTCAGTGGAGATACACAGAATTCAGAGCCTTGGGAGGATACAGGATGCCTTTCAGAAGATTGCAAAGGAGAAGAGAAGAGAAGAGAAGAGAAGAGAAGAGAAGAGGTCTCACAATCAGAAGAACAGGAAGAAGGTTGGAGAATCACACCACCACCAGGAAAAGACAGGCCTACATGATTGGGAACTCCCTACTCGGAAGAACAGACAGACCTATCACCAGGGCTAGACCTGAGCACTGAAAGGTGTGCTGTCTGCTGGAAGCTGAGATACAGGGTGAGGACTTGAGGTTGAAGAGGACACAAATGGGAGCAGGAAAGGATCCACTGATTATCCTTCATATAAGTACAAATGACAAAGCTAGATTCTCACTAGAACATATAAGGGAATGGAGACTCATGTGATATTCAGAGGGATTCTACCTACCCCTAGAGGAAGAGAATGAAGGCGATACAAAGTTATGATTATCAACAGATGACTCAGGCAGTGGTGCTATAAGGAGGGCCTTGAGATGCTTGACCATTGGGAGGTATTGATGGACTCCTGCGATGGACTCCACCTGAGTAGGGAGGGAAATAGACTTCTGGGCTGGAGGTTGGCACAAATCATTAAAAGAGCTTTAAACTAGGAACTTGGAAGAGATGGGTGGGAGATGCTCATGGACTCTCCATACCTGATTTTAACATTGAGTGGAAGGAAAATCAAGTAAGAATGGATATACCAATGAAGAAAACTATAGCTAATATAGTCCCTATGCTTTAAAAAGGGGATGGGAGAGAGATCCAGGCCTGTTTGATCTTAATTGTATGCAAGATCTTGGAATAAATTTGGAAAGAGAAAGTAATTACGCACACATAGGTGAGCAGTAATCAGGATGAAATACAACATCATTTTACAAAAGGTAGATTTCACCAGACCAGTCTGATCACCTTCTGTCACCAAAGTATGGGGGAGTCACAGGGCCTTGCACACACACACCCCATCCACAGTAAGGTGCGACTCTCAGCTGGCAGGTAGAACAGAAGGGTTTCTTAGTCGACAGGGTCACAACATAGAACAGATTTGTCAACACAGAAACCAGGATCAGTCAGTACAAACCATCTTAAGGAGAGGGGCCCCCAAAGCTATTGCCTGTTTCTTGCCCTGTGCCCCCAAGCCAGCCTAGACTCCCCACTCCCAGAAGTCTGGTCCCATCCCCATCCCCAGCCAGGCTCCTTCTCTAGCCTTTGTCCTGTTTCTTGGACAATAAGTGTCACCAGGTTGTTCCCCCTCCTAAGCTCAGGTTACGAAAGGCATCGGCCACAGGAGGATATCACACTCAAAATTCCCTTTGCCATCTAGGTATTGGTGCAGTACCCAGGAAACTGAGACATACCCATGGGGTTACTATGGGACAGTGGTACTCACATGCAACGTAACAAAGTGAATAAATGCCTCCACTTTGTCACATTTTCGTTGAGAAGATAACTGATTTTGTTAGACAAAGGAAATGCAATCAGTCAAATCTACCCGATTTCAATAAGGCACTTGATACAGTTCCGCATGGGAAATCATTAGTTAAATTTAGAGAAGATAGTGATTAATATGAGCATTGAAAGTGGAAAGAAACTAGTTAAAGGCAAGACTACAATGTGTCACACTGTCAGCCTGGAGGGAGGTTACCAGTGGAGTCCCTCAGGGATTAGTCTTGGAACCAATCTTATTCAACAGTTTTATTACTGATCTTGACACAAGTGAGAGTGTGCTAAGAAAAGTTATGGATGGCATCAAATTAAAGGTACAGCCAGTACAGAGGAGGACTGGAGTATCATGCAAGGAAATCAGGATGACCTTGTAAACTGGAGTAATAGAAATGGGATGCAATTTAATTTAGGGTCTAACAAGATTTTTTTCCATAAGCTGGGGACTTAGCAGATGGAAGAAACAGAGAAGGCAAAAGGCGTGGGCATATTGATTAATCACAGGATGACTGTGCCCTCAATGTGATGTTGACCTAGGATGCATCAGAAGAGATATTCCAGTAGAGTCAGGGATGTGTTAGAATTATTTTTCAAAACATTGTGAGACCCCATCTGGATGCAATTCTGCTTATCTCATGCTTAAGAAAGATAAAATCAAACTGGAACAGGTGTAGAGAAGGTCTACTAAGAGGATCCAAGGAATGGAAAATCTACCTTATGAGAAGAGACTCAAAGAGCTTTTCTGGTTTAACCTAACCAAAAGAAGACTGATTGCTCTCAGTGATTACATCAGAGGGATAAATACCAGAGAGGGAGAGGAGTTACATAAGTTAAGTGCCAATGTGGACACCAGAACAAATGGATATAAACTGGCCATCAACAAGTTTAGGCTTGAAATTAGGTCAAGGTTTCTAATCGTCAGAGTGCAGTTGTGGCACAGCCTTCCAAGTGGAGCCGTGGGGGCAAAAATACCTAACTGGCTTCAAGACTAAGTTTGATAAGTTTATGGAGGGGAGTGGATGATTGGACTCTCTGCAATCGCATGTAGATGATCTGCAGCTGCCAGTAGCAAAAATCCTCTCTGGCTGGAGATGGAACACTAGATGGAGAAGGCGCTGAGTTACTTCAGAGAATTCTCTCCCAATTGTCTGCCTGCTGTGCCTTGCTCAAATGCACAGGGTCTGATTACCATATTTGGGGTTAGGAAGGAGTTTTCCCTGGAAGTACATCTAGGCTGCAGGGTTTTTTCGAGATACATGTTTGCTCTTCTGCTTTTTTTTTTTTTTTTCCCGGAAAAGCAAACGTGCTCTTTCGGAAGCCCTGTCTTCCTTGTTCTATAAGGAAGAAGGGATCTTCAAAAGAGGTGGATTTTTCCAAAATTTGGCTCAGTGTAGACAGGCCAAATTTTGAAAAAGCCTCTTCCAGAAAAAAATCGGGAAAAGAGGTAGTTTAAACCTACCCTGTGTAACCCACAGAGGGAGCATAGAGTGTGGGTCACTTGTGGATTTAAACTTGTGTAAAAGACAAATTCCCTTGTAACTTAAAGTCTTTAACCAGTATTTGAGGACTTCTGTAACTCCGCCAAATGTCAGGGGTCTATTTCAGTAATGAGTGGTTGAGGTTCTGTGGTCTGCAATATGCAGGAGGTCAAACTGGATGATTATTATGGTCCTTTCTGACCTTAAAATCTGTGAGTCTATGAGCTGTTATCCTTACAACTGTTACACCCAGCAGCCACTTCTGCCTGGAGAAGATGTCACTGTGGTAGCTCTATGTTTTGTTAAGCCCCATGGCTTGTGCATCATTCTTCTATGACTCCTGCAGGAACTGCATGTACCATGAGCACCACCACCACCAACATTACTAGGCCCTTCCCTATTGCTGCTCTTGATAGGAGAAGCTGGGAAAGGAATAGCTGCCAGCTTACCCTAAAGCCATCAGCCTTATGCCATTCCCAGTAGTGACTCTTACTAGGGAAACATGGATTACTGTGGAGTTACAGTTCCATCAACTTTCTGAATTTCTAGAGGAGAGAAAAGAAGCTACAGGCAAATAATTTAAATGTAATTGCATTGCTAGCAAAAGTAGCCAGGTTGTTTAATGTAGAAAGAAGCTACTGAATTTAATAGGTGGCATGATTGGCTCACACACTAAGCTCACAGCTAACAGTACTTCTTTCATCTAGCTGGAAGGCTGCATCAAAGGGGAAAATCAGAGTGTTCCTTTGGATACCTGCACAAAGGAAGAAGCTCATTGGACAATTCAGAGGTGTAGTGGACCAGTAATCCTCCAGTATAAACCAAACCATGAAGGTAAGACCTAAAGTTTGGCTTATCAGAAATTGCCAGTTTTTTTGATAAGGCAAGTCCTCTGCTAGATCAGAATCCGTTGAGCCAAACTCTGCTCTTAGTTGTACTGGAGTAATCAATCCTGAGGTAAATCCACTGGTTTCTGTCGAGCTACTTTAGATTTACAGCAATGTAACTGAAAAGCAGTAATAGCCCAAACACCTGTCATTCCAAGAATCTGAAGAGCTTAGTGGTGCGTCATTGGAGATAGTAGTCACCGTGTGCAAGATGATTTTTGTATACAATTTTCTGTGACATAACCTGACATGCTAAATTTTCTTTTCCGTCTCTGAGGTCTGATTTCACATTGACACTTTGAAGTTTACCTTGTTTATAATGGTTGCAGTTTTATCTTACTTTTAACAGATGGAGCATGGCACATGGACCATGATCAGGGCTTGTAGCAAGAATTTGGTACATTGGATCAAAAATTACATTCCAAAAGCCATTTTTACTTGCACAGCTGTGTTGGCCCATTCTTTATCCTGGTCAGGGGAATTCAGTTGTACAGATCATGCTGACAGTGATTTCTTTGATTTTCCTTTGATGTTTAAGTAGAAAAGAATATCACACTTTTTTGAGCATCACTTGGCTGCACATAAAGCATGTTACAGATTGTGGGAGTGCCAGCTGCTAATAAAGTGAACAGGCTGCCCTTAGACCTCCTGATAGAACTCATGTTGTACTTGCAGGATGCAACTGCGGCTTTTCATACTGCATCTTTGTTGGGAAGTTCACTGTTTTATGGATGATTTGTATATAACCTACCAGAAATGACATTGCCCAACTGTATCCTTACAACAGGAACTACTTATGAACTGTGATACTTGTAGCCTGAGCTGCTCCCAGACCATTTAAACTAGCACCCTAAATGCATGTCTAAGCTACATCCCTCTTTTGAAAGAGGGATGTAAATTAGACAGACCGAAATTGCAAATGAAGCTAGGATTTGAATTTCCCGCGCTTCATTTGCATAATGGCGGCTGCGCATTCTTTCAAAAATGGGTATTTTGAAAGTGAAACCACCGTCTAGACGTGGTTCTTTAAAAAAAAACTTTTTTGAAAGATCCTGTGCTCCTCAAAAAATGATCTTTACAGGATCTTTTGAAAAGGGTTTTTGTTTTCGAAAGAGCCACCTCTAGATGGCAGTTTCACTTTCGAAATACCCGTTTTTTGAAAGAATGCGTGGCTGCCATTATGCAAATGAAGCGTGGAAAATTCAAATTCCGGCTTCATTTGCAATTTCGATCTGTCTAATTTACATCCCTCTTTCAAAAAAGGGATGTCATTTAGACACTGTTTATGTTTTCTCTCAGAAGTGACCTCTCAGTTTACTAGGACTTCAATGCCATGAACTTCTACCACAACAGAGCCTACTCACTGAAAGCTAGAAATACAGCAGCACTTGGTCACAGATTCCTTTGTGGCTGCAGGTTACAGGAAGCTGCTGTCAGAACTGGAAGAAGGATTGATCACGTCAGGAGACTCATTTCACATCCGTCTGAATCTGAACATCTCTAGCCAGCTGGACTGCTGCTCCCTGTCGTTGAAATGTGATGAGATTGTGCATATTCTCGACACCATGTACCAGGGGAAGTGCGAGTGGCTGTGTGCCAGAGTTGACCCTTTCACTGATAGGAACCTGGAAATGGGGACCATCCCCAGCTATAGCAGGTGAGCATAATGCTGCTGAAATAGGACAGTAACCTTGACTATAAGCAACAACTATATGAGCTCTCTTGTGTAAATCAGTTCCTGCTATCACGGAGGGAGGGTTGCATATCAGAGTTGAGGATCAGGACAGTCATTTGGTTGCAAGGGTTTTGAGGAGGAGACCTCAGATTTTATTAGGAGACAGGATTTCTCAGAGAACCAGACAGGAAGATGTACACCAGAAACCCTCTTATCCCCAGCAGTGAACCACAGTCCTGCTGACTATTTTTGTTCTGTAGTTTTACAGTGTGATTCAGGCATTCCTTACTGCTGTTCTCTCTTGTCTTTTCCCTAAACCAGGGGTGGGGAACTTCAGGCTCAGGGGCTGGATGTGGCCCCTGGATCTGGATCACATAATCTACTAGGCTGCCCACCCCCAAGCTCTGGTGTGTGAGGGGAATGTGTGGGTTTGGGGTTTGTTTTTTTGTTTGTTTTTGGGGGGGTTGCCTCTTACTTGTGTGTGGCCCCCGATTGATTTTTCTGTGGGTCAATGGCCAACAGCCTAAAAAAGGTTCCCCACCCCCTGCCCTAAACACTGACCACTGCATCCACTCTTCCTCTAGATGATCTCACACACATCTTCCTGATCCATGTGTCTTTATTGTTTCTTGTAGAGCCCAGCAACTGCTCCTGGTGAAGCTCCAGCGACTGATGCACAGAGGCAGTAGGGATGAAACAGAAAGTTCATCCAACACTCTTCGAGCACTCCGGGTAGGTCTCCATTGCGGGAGTCTTTCCATATCAATTGTTGCAGCTGTCTCTACTGCTCATGTCTTCCTGTTTTGAATCACTCTCTGTAAGCTTCCTTTGGTTACTCCTGATGCTGGCCCTCATGTTTAATACCCACTCTACCTAGTCTCTTTAAATCTTCCATCCCTCTAACCTTCCATAGGTCTTTCCCTCAATCCTACAAGGAGATGGAGCTGTGTCCTTAGAGCTAATAATCAGAATTCCTTCTCTTATCTTCCTTCTCTTAACAAGCATCTGGCCCCTAACTGCATGTCCAAAGTATCCATCCTCTCTAAAAGAACACACTGTGCAGAGAAGTGGAATTACCGACTTCTTTGTGCATCCGGTCTCCAGAGTTGTTCCTGTAACCACAGGTGGATTGAGTCAATTTCTTTACCCCTAGGTGTTCCTGTTATGTACACTAGTAAATTAGTTTTCTGCTATACAGGCAGTCCCCGGGTTACGTACAAGATAGGGACTGTAGGTTTGTTCTTAAGTTGAATCTGTATGTAAGTCGGAACTGGCGTCCAGATTCAGACACTGCTGAAACTGACCGCCAGTTCTGACTTACATACAGAATCAACTTAAGAACCACAGGCGTCCCCAAGTCAGCTGCTGCTGAAACTGATCAGCAGCTGATTCCAGGAAGCCCGGGGCAGAGCAACTCTGCCTCAGGCTTCCTGTAGTCAGCGCTGGTCAGTTTCAGCAGAAGCTGACTTGGGGACTCCTGGGGCAGAGCAGCAGGGGTGCTGCTGGGTTGCTCCAGTAGCGCCGCTCCTCGGTGCTACTGGACCAACCCAGCAGCACCCCATCTGCTCTTCCCCAGGCGTCCCGGTTCAGCCGCTGCCGAAACTGACCAGCAGCGGCTGAATACAGACAAGAGGAGATGGGGG